TCCCCCTCCTTCCTTTCCTCCTTCTCCTCCTCCTCCTCCTCCTCCTCCTCCTATCCTCCTCCCCCTCTTCCTCCTTCTCTTCCTCCTCCACCCCTTCCGCTTCCCTTTCCGCCTCCTTCTCCTCCTCCTCGTCCTCCTCCTCCTCCTCCTCTTCCTCCTCGTCCTCCTCTTCCTACTCCTCGTCCTCCCCCTCCTCCTCCGCTTCCCTGTCCTCCTCCTCCTCCTCCTCCTCCTCCTCCGCCTCCTCCTCCTCCTCCTGCACCTCATCCTCCTCTTCCTCCTCGTCCTCCTCCTCCAGAGCCAACGCTATTGGGGGGATACAGTGGGGAACTTTTGGATACAGTCGGACCGAGGCGTAAGATCGAGGTCGTTTCAGGAAGGGTGCCCTAATGTTCTTCGTATGTGCAAAATGTTTCTGAGCATCCTGGGAAGTGTGCCCTTGGATGTTCTGCGTGTTTTGGACGACGGAGGGCCTCATGCTCTTGAAGGATGGTCTTCTGGCTTGGGTTCGACTGTCGGTTCGTGTCGCACCGACGCGCCAACGACCTCGCAGCGGACGTTCAAGTTTGAACGCCGCCAGTGGCCCAGAATCGGCCAATCTGGAACGACCCGGCGATCGAAAAGCCACCAATCGTTCGCACCTTCGTCGATACACGAAGCGCTCCAGAAAGAGCTTCACATTCGAGGATAGAAGTAGTGGGCATCTCTTCCCCGGCGGAAGGCTGGCGGAAGGCGGCGAAAGTAAAACGAGTGCGGTTCCACGGACGGAAGGCGGCGGAAGGCCGGCGGAAGTGAACGATAATATGCCCCTCAAGGGAGGACAACATTGTTGGGTTCAGAGTCTCTGGAACCCGCCACACGGTCGCTTCCAGCGCTTGGAGGCGCCGAGGGAACCAGCTGCGTGCAGCTCGTTCGCTACCCTCTCCCCCCCCTTGTCCACCCCAGAGAGACGCTGACCAGAGAACCCAACAATCGAGATCAATTGAAGGCAAGTGCCCCATGGACAGGTCTTTCAGTTCCCAGCAATCCAAAGCAAAGCAGAGCGGGACGTCAGGGGCGACGACAGATTGGAGAGCCGAAGGAGCGAGGGCAGCTGAAGCGGGACCCCATACAGGCGGGAGCAGCTGGGCAATTCTGGAGGGTGTCAGGGTCATCCTCGTCGTTAGTATTGCTCATAGCCCCTCAGTGTTTAGACGAGTGCTGCACGGCGCGCGTTACCAGTAACCTCGTGTAGTAGACATGCGATCGTTAGAGGTAGCAGGATCGCACGAGTGCCACACTGTGTGCATAGCTGCCTATTCACCCCCCACGCGCGCAGGACCGAGTCGTACCCTGTCCCAGCCTGCGGTCGGGCTCTTTTGGATAGCGTGTCGCTCCGCCGATTCTGGCCCACCTCGCTTCCGCGCGACGCGCGACTCACGTCCCAGTCCCCAGGCCTCGACGTCTCGAGCCTCTCCGAGCCACCCGCCCCGCGGAGCGGAGCGACACGCTGTCCCCTCGCAGGGCGTGGCGCGTCGCCGGGGCCGCCGCCCGCGACATGCGAAGCCAAAGTGCCCGACCGTGGCAGCGCCCCTCCCTTCTCGCCGCCCGCCAGCCCACCCCAACCCAACCCGAAGGCCCCGACTTGCCCTCCAGTTCCAGTGGGGGGGGGGGGGCATCGGGAAGCACGGGAAACTCTGGAACTCAAGACTTGGCCCCCCCCCCCCTCCTCCCAACACGACGTTCGGGTCTTCGGGCTTGGTTGGGGTGCCCTGGCAAGTAGTCCCTCCTCTCGTGCCGCGGCAGCGGCCCACCCCGCCACAGCCGCCCCCCGCTCGCCCCCGCGGCGCCCGGCCCGGGCGCACCCCGGGGGGGGGGCGGCGGGGCCCGGTCGGCGGACCCATGCGCGCCGCCGGGCCGGCCCCCTGGCTGGTCCCGCATGGGCACGAACGAAACCCAGACCCCCTCGAGCAAGGAAAGAATCACTCGACGGGAGGTTGTCCTTCACTTTCGGCCTCGGGGGGCCCTCACCGGGCCTCGGGAGCGTCAAGAAACGACTCAGGATGCAAAGCCGGTCCTGGCGAAAGGGTCGGGGCCCCTGGGGTCGACGTAACGAAAAAATCATTACGTCGGGGGTCTGGGAATGGGTGCGGAAAGAATGGGCGCAATGCCCAACAGCGGTTCCTGTTCATTTTGAACCGGACTCGCTGTCGGTGTCGCCGCGGCCTGTGTACACTTGAGGCAGACGGCCGCCTGCCCAACAGCGGCCGCTGCTGGCTTGGGGCAGCAGTTGTTGTTGGGCATTGTGCCCATTTTTTCAGTACCCATTCCGGGCGTCCAAACCGCAGGAGGGGTCGGTCGGAGGAGATCCGACGCTCCAAAACAAAAATAGGAGCGGCGGGATTTGGGCAGTTTTCAGCCTCTGGGGGCCCGCGCCGGGCCTCGGGCGCGTCAGAAAACGATTCCGGACGAAAAGCTGGCCCCGGGGAAGTGGTCCGGACCTCCGGGGCCCACGCATCGAGACAATTGGAGCGGCCGGATGTCTGGGGAGGGGGGCGAGCGAGTACGGTCAGGAGCCCAGACATGTTCGCGTCGCGCCAAAATTCAGGGCGGAGGTGCTTCATCGCTTGCAGCCTCTGGGGAGCCCTCCCCGGGCCCTGGGACCGTCAAAAGACGTCTCGGGATGAATAGCTGGTCCTGGCAGCTCGCCATCGCTCGGGCGTCCATTCCCCGTGCACCTTTTGACTTTTGATATCGTGCGTGCTTGCTTTGCTCGCTGATCGAGGATGCTCCTCGGTAGTCCTCGCCGAGAAAAAAAACAAGGTGAAGGGTCGGGACTTCGGGGGCCGCGCACCAAAATAGTCAGGACGTCGCATGTCTGGGAACGGGTTCTGAGAGAAACGAGTCCTCGGGTGTGTCCGCCGTTTTCTGCCTCCCGGGGCCATCAGTTGGTCCTGGGAGTTCTTGAAAACGACTCAGGACGAAACGTTGGTCTTGCATGGGGGAAGGCCCAAGGGTCCAGGACCCGTCTGCTTCACGCCAAAGAGTGGGGAGTGCGGAGGATTTGTAGGATTTAAGTTGGTATGCGTAGAATGGGGATGAAGATTGGTAGTAGATTTTGCCCATTCTGATAACAATTCGCTGGCGCAGTCGCCCCCCCAAGAGCGGCCGCTGTCGGATTTGGACAACATCTGCTGTTGGGCATCATGCCCATTGATACGTGTCAATTTCGGGCGCGCCAAGATCAGGAAGGGAAAATCAAGCACAGACACAAATAATCGTCGATTCCCCAGACAATATGGAACATACGGGACGTGGAGGGGAAGACGAACATCCAGGAGATATGGGAAATATGGAGAATCCTGAGATTTGTGTCCATTGATTTGTGTGCCCCTGGGCCCCATTCACAAGAGGACGAGGAGGGTCGAGTGCTCTGGGGTCGAGGTGTCTGGACGCTCATGGCCTTCTCTGGGCCTTTCGCGTCGCCACGGCTAGATTCGCCAAGGAATTCTGACCAGAGCGCACCCTGGGAGGCGTCGGGGGTTCGATGTGGGCGTCGGCCCAGGGTTCTCTTTTAGTAGGTTTACCCCCGGTTTTGACGGCTGTAGGCCGGCGAATTTCTTTTGCGATACATGACGAGGTCGCGTAGGGCCAGCAAATCAAAATTTGAGGATGTCTCGAGCGAAACGCTTGTGTTTCAGAAATTGTTGAGGGTGTCTCGAGCGAAACGCTTGTTTTGTGTTATAGAGTGTCCTCTCCTGGGGACCTGAATTCTGAGGATCTCTCAAGTGGATTGCTTGTTTTCACGTGCCCAGGTCTTGAGGATGTCTCGAGCGAGACGCTTGGTTTCACGCCTCCAGGTGGCCCAGACAGATGTCTAGCATGAGGATTTGTTGAGGATGTCTCGAACCAGAGGCTTGTTTTCACGTGTCCAGGTCGCCCAGGCGGATATCTAGCATGAGCATTTGTTGAGGATGTCTCGAGCGAGACGCTTGTTGGCACGTGTCCAGGTTGCCCAGGCGGATGTCTAGCATGAGGATGTGCTGACAACGGCTTGAGCGAAACGCGTGTTTTCACGTGTCCAGGTCGCCCAGGCACAGCACAGCCCTTGGCACGGTACATCAATATCGATACCCTTAGCATTGCAGCCTGGCATGTTGCCTGGCACGTTCCGCGGAGCGTCCCGTGGCGAGTCCCCTGGCACGTCGCGCGGTGCACGTCCATTGGCACGTTCCGTAGCGCGTCCCCTTGGCACGTCCCGCGGTGCGTCCCCATGGCACGTCCCCTGGCACGTCGCCTGGCGCGTCCCTTGGGACGTTCCGCGGCGCGTCCTCTTGGCATGTTCCCTCTGTCGATTAGTTCTGGGGCAGCTACCATCTGCTCAGGCAGCTCGAGCTTACGCTCCAGATCAGTTCGGTGAGGACTCGGATGCCAGGGAGGACTCGATCCACAACGCTATATAGAGCACAATCGCGGCATGGCACATCGCAGTTCAGCACGGCCCAGCACAGCACAGCCGTCGGCACGGTACATCAAGATCGATACGCTCAACTATGCACTTTGGTACATTCCTTGGCGCGTTCCGTGGCGAGTCCACCTGGCACGTCGCGCGGCGCGTCCCCTGGCACGTCCCTCGGCACGTCCATTGGCACGTTCCGTAGCGCGTCTCCTTGGCACGTCCCGCGGTGCGTCCCCATGGCACGTCCCCTGGCACGTCGCCTGGCGCGTCCCTTGGGACGTTCCGTGGCGCGTCCTCCTGGCATGTTCCCTCTGTCGATTAGTTCTGGGGCAGCTACCATCTGCTCAGGCAGCTCGAGCTTACGCTCCAGATCAGTTCGGTGAGGACTCGGATGCCAGGGAGGACTCGATCCACAACGCTATATAGAGCACAATCGCGGCATGGCACATCGCAGTTCAGCACGGCGTAGCACAGAACAGCCCTCGGCACAGTACATCATCATCGATCCATTCAGCATTGCATGTGCCCGTCGCCCAATCAGGTGTCTTTGAAATGTTGCAATGCCTTACATTTCTATATTCCTTTCCGGGTTCGTGGGTCGATCATGTTTCTCCCTTGGCCCCCTCGCGTCGTGGGAAACACATTTTGGATCTCTCAAGGCTCCCCGTGGACCGCCAGCGGGGCAGGGGGAAGAGGGTCCTTCGGCAAGTCCCGCCATCGTAGCAGCTCGGAACGCGCGGCCGTCACATGTGGCACTTTTAGTCTTCACTCCTCCTCCTCCTCCTCCTCCTCCTCCTCCTCCTCCTCCTCCTCCTCCTCCTCCTCCTCCTCCTCCTCCTCCTCCTCCTCCTCCTCCCCTCCTCCTCCCCCTCCTCCTCCCCGAGGAGCTCTCATGGAGCTTGCTTGGGCCGCCCTGGGGCTGTCTTGGGCTCCCCTGGGGCAGTCCTGGGCGCCCCTTGGAGCCCTCTTCGGCCGCCGTGGGCCTTTCTCGGACCGCCTTCGGGCTATATTGGTCGTATTCGGGTCCTCCCCCTCCTCCTCCTCCTCCTCCTCCTCCCTCCTCATCCTCCTCCTCCTCCTCCTCCCTCCTCCTCCTCCTCCTCCTCCTCCTCCTCCTCCTCCTCCTCTTCCTCCTCCTCCTCCTCCTCCTCCTCCTCCTCTCATCCTCCTCCTCCTCCTCCTCCTCCTCCCCCCCTCCTCCTCCCCTCCTCCTCCTCCTCCTCCTCCTCCTCCTCCTCCTCCTCCTCCTCCTCCTCCTGCTCCTCCTCTGAGGCCGTATTGGGTCCCTTCGGAGGTCCTCTTGGGGCTCTGCGGGGGCAGTCCTGGACCGTCTGGAGAGCCTGGTCGGCTGCCTTGAGGCCGCATTGGGCGATCGTTGGGCGGGGCTTGATTGAGCCGTCTCCGGGCCGTCTTGGAGGCTTCTGGAGCTGCCTGGAGCTGCAGGAAGAACGAAAAGGCGACGACGCCCATACATATATATATATATATATATATATATATATATATTCGGAGGTTGGGGGGTGAGATCGCAGTGTAACGGAGTCCCCCCACGGGGAAATCGAGTTTCGAGTTCGTGCTCGTGCCGTGCGTGCGGGCGAGGCGAAGCTGCGTGGGCCAGCGAGAGGAATTCACTCTGCTGTCGCTAGGGGTCCGCCAACACAAATGTTTCCCCACCCCCGGCCTTGTCAAGCGGTAGCCCACGTTGTCCTGTCGGTTGCCCGCCGGTTGCTTATCATGGTTGCTCATCATTGTCCCACCGGTTGCTCATCATGGTTGCTCATCATTGTCCCGCTGGTTGCTCATCATGGTTGCTCATCATGGTTGCTCATCATTGTCCCGCCGGTTGTTCATCATGATTGCTCATCATTGTCCCGCCGGTTGCTCATCATGGTTGCTCATCATAGTTGCTCATCATTGTCCCGCCGGTTGCTCATCATGGTTGCTCATCGTTGTCCCGCCGGTTGCCCGTCATGCTCGTCGTGGGCTGAGTGCCGCGTCGCGCAGCGGCAAACCGAACGGCACAAGTCGCCCAAGCAAAAAAACAACAAAAACATCCGCCACGTCATCCACACCATCATCGCCCATCAGCACCACGTTCATCACAGTTGTCGTCATGAGCCACCCCCCTCCCCCCACCCCCCCACAACCTCCTTATCACCGGCAGGGTGGTCGTGTAGGTATACATATATATATATATGTGAAAAATCAGAGCACATCCGAGCTTCTGGCATCATCGGGCCCTGCTGGGGGTCCTCTTGTGGCCGTCTTGGGCCTCCTTGAGGGCCTCTTTGGACGTTTTGGTGGCATCGTGGGGACGGTCTTTCTCGGCCGCGGGGGTCCAATTCTTGATCGAGGAGTCGTGGCCTCGGGAGCGCGTGTCGTTGTTGCACGAAGGGTCGTGCCCCCGGGCGAGGGGGGCGATGCGCGCGTTGGTCTGCGAGCAGAATGGGGGCCCGACAGCCCTCGGTGTTCT